CTGACGTTCTGCCTCTGCTGCCTCCTGCTGAGCCTTGGCGGCAGCTACGGCATCAGTGAATACCTGTAGCCGCCCTAGGTAGTCAGCCAACGGCTCACTGGCCCCTTGGACCGGGCATGCGGAAAGAACCCCGGTGGTAACCGGTACTATGAATGCTGTACTCGATGCCACTGGAGTCTTCCGTCTGCTGAGTCGCTGTTGCCGAGCCTTGGTTCGTTCTTGCATACTGTAACTGTGCAGACCAGAACAAGAACCGGCCTCTCAATACAAAGTACAAGATGGCGCAAACGGAAGACTTAGATACCAATGATCCGATCAATCAATGTTGCAATGCAGCCCTGAACATACATCATCATCATCATCCCAGAGTGTGAAAGGGGTCTGGCGCTTCACACAGGAAGACTGCGCCAGCCCCACACATACACAGACGAAGAAGAGGGGGGTTAGACGAAGAGGAGGGAAAGATGGGAATGTCGTCAACACCAAGTCTTCGGCACAGGCCCAAATAGTCCCTCGTCAAAATGTCTGAATCCCAAATGTCGAGTCTGAATCCAATGTCGTCAAGTCTCAGGTCATATCTCTCTCTCGTAGTCCACAGATACCGAGAAGTAGGCAGCGAGAGGGGAAGAAGAGATGGTGGACTTAGAAGAGGAAGAAGAAGAGCTCTCTCTCTCTCTCAGTCCAGTACTAACCTGTGAAGGTGGCACTGTGATGCAGGTACCTCGAAGATGGAGCTGGAGCGGTGGCGCCACAGGTAAGTACCACTGGCCTCTGCCAGTCATCTCTCTCCTATATCACTACTACTACTACTGCTATAGCGCCCAGCGCTGAAGACTACAGCTATGGCGCCCATCGCTGAAGACTACACTAGCGCTAAGCTGCCCTGAGCAGCGCTCCTCCTGAGTGCTGCTCCGCTATCCTGAAGACTACACCTGACTACTGTCCAACTACCTGCCGGGGAAGTGCATGGGAAACTCCTATGTACTACTCGGCCTGGACTGGCTGCAGGCGAGGCAGCAGTCCAGGAGGCTGCTCTTGCCAATGCCACGGCCAGCCAGGGGCTGCCGCTGCAGCTCCTGCTGCAAGTTGGCATGGGGAACAGGCCAAAATTAGCCTGTTCCCAAAACCCTGTTTTTGTGCCTGAGTCTTAGGTAGGTCGAACACAATGAGGGCCTGAAAATGGCCCTCCGTTTCAGGCTGAAAAGCCTCTGGGCCTGAAAGGCCCAGAAATAGGCTGAAAACGGAATAGGGCCTGCAGGCCCTCGTTTTCAGTTTCAGGCTGAAACGACCGGGGCCTGTAAGCCCTATTTTCTAGGCTTTTAGGCTGAAAGTCCGGGACGGGCCCTGCAGGGCCCGTGTGGCTACGCAGTATGCCACATTCGTGGAGGTATCACAGAACGGGCACGCACTGCAAGCCTGGCACTGCGTCCTGGCAGTGCCCCGGTGTACTGTTCCATCGACATCAGTGTGAACTGATGTGGTACTTGAGAAGGCCCGGTGGTCACAGAGTACGGGAAGTGTAGGGAGAGTGGGAACAGGGGTAGAACAATCAAACAATTCGCATACAGTCCCCTGTCCCACCGATGGACTTTAGACACCTAATCAATATAAAAAAAATAAATT